CAGCAACATGGTCAAGATCGACATCATCTGCAGAAGCCGCTGCACCTGAAACTCTTGGGAAAGGGAATACACCAGCGATTTTTGTTAACTCTTGTTTACATACATCAGGCAAGGAGAACCGTCTAACAACTTTTATAGCTTCGCCAACAATATAAACTTTAAAGAGAACACCACCTATCAGGAAGCGATTGAAGACATCAGAGGATACAAACTTGGCTACAATGAAATAATAAGCTTTATGACGTGAATACCATGATTGACAAACTCCTGTAAAACCAAAGGTGGTTCAAGTTTTGTCAGAGAGAACTGATCATAAGCAAGACATAGTTGATGTGACTTTGCACTTCCATCCAGTATCAGTGGTTTCGCAACTGAAAAGGTCAGAAATTAACACATAGTTATATAAAGTTTCGACCAGGACTGATCTTCTGTGGTACATAAAAAAATCTTCAGTTTGGAAAGGAGCATCAGAGAAACCCTACATGACTGATCTCATAGCTTCCGGCATGTCGTCACTCATCACCGATCATCATGGATCTACTATCAGTACTATGAGATTAAGCCCATTGCCCAATATGAGTACTAACCTCATGACGCAAATATGATTCTCTTCACTAATATATTAATGCCCTTGCCAATAATATTCAGAGTTTGTTCAAGAGACGTGTTTCTTTAATCCCTCTTTTTAGTCTGTCTGTTTGAGAAACTTGAAACTCTTGCAACCAGAGACACAGGAACCTTAGAAACATACCTAGAGGTAGTCTCAGTCCTGCTTTTGTTACTGCATCGGGGATGGATGAAGGATCTTTTCTGATGACCAATTGCCTTGGAACACCAACTTTGCCTACAACAACAGTCAATAACAAAAGCAACACTTGATCGTTATCACAAAAGAAATATTTAAAATGTTCAAATATTTAACAATAAAGACCTGTAACACAAGGATGAATGGATTAGTTCGAACAACAATCATACGCTTACCTTACTTATTTATACATACATATATATTTATATATATAGACATAGAGAGAGAGAGAGATGATAAAAGAAACACATATGCAGCTTAACACAGAATCTCAGAAACTACCATAGCAGTAAGGCAAGTTCAGATTTGCTACATGCTCAAGCATGGACTGACGGTTGTTGATACGTCCTATGGCATCTGGAGGATCAAGGACGGTAACTTCAGGATGTTTTTGTCGGTAATCCTTCAAAAGTAAAGGAAACAGGGAAGGTAAAAATGGAAGTCAACCATAAGACTTGAAGAATGAGAAATTCCAAATTACAACGGTTACCCATATAAGGTAGGTCAAACTTCAATCCTCAAAATCAGAAGTTAATTAATCATTAAGACGACTATATCAAACAAATAGGGTGGGGTGACATCATCTTATACAATGATGCCACCCAAGGTCCTAAAAATATGATGCCTGTCAATAAGCCAAATTTGTACACACTTCTTGCAGAAGTAATTGACCAACCATATGAACAATTCTTGCTTGCAAACTGAACCTTGTTTGCAATAAAGATTACAGCGGTTTCAATTATTCTACCAGTATTCTTGTCCATGGTGACACTAGTTGTTAAAAATTACAGCCCTTTTAATTATTCTATCACTATTCTTGTCCATGGTGACCATAGTTGTTAAAGAAAATTTTTTATTATCATTACAGTCAGGGGCGGAGCCAGAAATTATGTCCAAGGTGGGCACTTTACTAAAAAATTTAATTTTTTTCTTCTTAATAAAAATAAAATAATATATTCAAATTTAGTATACTGTATTCGATACTTAAAAATTCATAAAATATGAAAACGGTGAAATTTTGATAAATATAGCATACATAAATAAAAACAAATAAAAAAGAGAGGCTAATTATACCCCTTCATAACAAATGAAACAAACTGCATAAAAGATACTATAATATTTCTCCCTATATATGATCAAACTATTAGTCATTGATCACTCATTTAATTATGTAACCTAATTGTCATAATCTCTATAGCTTTTTTTTTTTTTAATTGGAATGTCTATAGCTTAAAAAAAATGAGTTCGACATGTCAAAAACTTATATAGATGCATCCATAAAGTGTCTAAAGTATGTCAAAAAATTCATAATTATTTAGGTACGGGGACTATACTAATTGATAGAACAAAAAATGATAGAGTGGACACACTTAATTATACTCCAAATTATTTGAAATATACATAAATAATATTTTTTTTTAAAATTTGAGGGGGGGGGCACTGGTCCTCAAGTAGCTCCGCCCTTGATTACAGTAACATTTGGTGTAGACGTGTAGTGTCTAAAAACGAAGCTGGTGAAGACCAGTTTAGGTATCTTCTGGCGCAGCAGCGGTATGCAGGGACAATATCACAGCACATGAACTAGTTCATAAGCAACTTAAGAAACTTCCCACAAATGTCCACTATAGCATTTCAAATTCATTATAGACACTAAGTAGGTGATTCTTAAAATATTTATGACTCTCAAAGAAGTGAAGAATAGCTGATTTGGAGATGTAAGTGCTAAAGCCCAAGATGATGTGATTGGTGAATTCTAGCATGATGCCTAAAAGCCCACACTATTGATTTTGCCTGTCAATTCATACAGCATTCATCTTACCGGACTATATAGATTGACACATGGGCTACTTGACCTGAAAATCTGAGTTAAACTATGACCGCAACATAACCAGAAATCACTAACATTGAAGCCCAAATTCAGTATCAATCTGAATAAGCTAGGCAGTTAGAAGACAAGATAAAGAAAACTTTACAGTAAAGGAGGAGTTAAAAAATTCAAATTTTCGCAACTTACGTTCAGCAACAACACCTGAACAAATTATCCAGATTAATCACAAAAAGTAAAATTCTAACTTGTTTGATTTTTTTTGAGGGACTAATATTTGATGACGATCCTTGATGAAGAGAACAAATTTTGTGCAAATTATGGGAGACAAAAAGAGTTCTAATCCTTCAGATGATCCTGTTGTTCCACAAATACACATCGTGAAGGGTATTTAACCACTTGCACGAACAAAAAGCTTGACTTTGAGAAAGTATGCCAGGGGCCATTTGGAAAGAATCCACATCATCACATAGTTTAAGCTATTTCACATTACATCAAACCAATAAGCATCAACAAATACGGTGGACGAACCTGAATAATTTGGAACCACTCCTGCCCCAACAACTACAATGAAAATAAGGATCGTCAGACATGACAGAAGCTAAAACTTAATCAACCTACTACATAACAGTAAGAATACGCACGTCTCTTTTTTCTGTTGGGGAGGAGTCTAGAATCAAATAAAAAAGAGTTGCTCTGAAAGTAGCCCAGAGGGGATTTCTAGTAAGACTCAGCACTGACCTTGTGTAAAACGACGTCAAAAGGACCTTGATCTGACAATGACCTGTTCAGATCGATGCCAACAAATAATATTCCTTTATTTCTGTACCATGTAAAACACCATTCAGTAAGGACAGGAAGTAACCAGAGGAGAAGCTTGGCAATCTAATAACCGCAAACATCTTAAACCATGGAGAGTAGCCACAATTAACTAATAAATTCATACCATTATCGAGCATATAGAAAATGGAGTGGGACCCACTTGAGTAAAACATGTGGGCCCACTCCTTTTTTCTACGGCTATGATGATGCAGAAGTTCCGATTGATACACACACATACGCGTTTATTTAACACTTCATAATTTAGAACGAACAAAAAAAAAATAATATGAACTGAAATATTATGATGGCACCAAATTTGTGCAAACAATGGCCAACATTAGATCCATAGTCCATCAGTGCTTCCTTAATACCCTTGTTTAGTGTGGACCAGATAGAATGACTCATTTTTGCTTTAACATGTAACACACATAATGTAAATCTAGCCAAAAAAATTCAAATACAATTTATATTTGCTTACTCCTGTGACACAAACATTGGACCATTCACACCAAGCAATACAAAAAATGATTGGAAATGCGAAGTCTACAGGAAACCTTAGATGTCCGTGGCATCAACGTGGTTGAGCGCAGGTTACCATAAATATTATTTAAGGTTTGAAAATAATTTTTCCAATAAGACGGTATGGAGTCCTATGGACACGAAAGTCCATGACTACAGAAGAAGAGCACAAGGAATTGACTTTGAATAGAGGTATATATAATGGAATATTCCCATTAAAAAATGGCAAGAAACAAAGAAGATTCCTGATACCAAGAATATCAAACTGATTGGATAAGTGATAAGTCAAAGCAAACAGTTGCCAACAAACAATTTTCCAATCCAGTCCCCATCACACGCACTTGCTTTACCACGACGCATAGAAGCATCATATGTAGAAACAATAGAAACTCAGCAGGCAACATTATTGAACCAACCACAAAAAAGAACAAGAAGAAAACTAAATAATTTCATCAGAAACACACACATGTAGATATTGTTTCAGGTACTTACACTTCCGAAAACACAGAAATGAGGATCATTCTCAAAAAGACCATAAGGGTCCTTTGTCATGGTAATATCAAAGTGCAGAAATAGTTGAAGACTAACAATCTTTGAACATAAGTACTNGTTCAGATCGATGCCAACAAATAATATTCCTTTATTTCTGTACCATGTAAAACACCATTCAGTAAGGACAGGAAGTAACCAGAGGAGAAGCTTGGCAATCTAATAACCGCAAACATCTTAAACCATGGAGAGTAGCCACAATTAACTAATAAATTCATACCATTATCGAGCATATAGAAAATGGAGTGGGACCCACTTGAGTAAAACATGTGGGCCCACTCCTTTTTTCTACGGCTATGATGATGCAGAAGTTCCGATTGATACACACACATACGCGTTTATTTAACACTTCATAATTTAGAACGAACAAAAAAAAAATAATATGAACTGAAATATTATGATGGCACCAAATTTGTGCAAACAATGGCCAACATTAGATCCATAGTCCATCAGTGCTTCCTTAATACCCTTGTTTAGTGTGGACCAGATAGAATGACTCATTTTTGCTTTAACATGTAACACACATAATGTAAATCTAGCCAAAAAAATTCAAATACAATTTATATTTGCTTACTCCTGTGACACAAACATTGGACCATTCACACCAAGCAATACAAAAAATGATTGGAAATGCGAAGTCTACAGGAAACCTTAGATGTCCGTGGCATCAACGTGGTTGAGCGCAGGTTACCATAAATATTATTTAAGGTTTGAAAATAATTTTTCCAATAAGACGGTATGGAGTCCTATGGACACGAAAGTCCATGACTACAGAAGAAGAGCACAAGGAATTGACTTTGAATAGAGGTATATATAATGGAATATTCCCATTAAAAAATGGCAAGAAACAAAGAAGATTCCTGATACCAAGAATATCAAACTGATTGGATAAGTGATAAGTCAAAGCAAACAGTTGCCAACAAACAATTTTCCAATCCAGTCCCCATCACACGCACTTGCTTTACCACGACGCATAGAAGCATCATATGTAGAAACAATAGAAACTCAGCAGGCAACATTATTGAACCAACCACAAAAAAGAACAAGAAGAAAACTAAATAATTTCATCAGAAACACACACATGTAGATATTGTTTCAGGTACTTACACTTCCGAAAAAACAGAAATGAGGATCATTCTCAAAAAGACCATAAGGATCCTTTGTCATGGTAATATCAAAGTGCAGAAATAGTTGAAGACTAACAATCTTTGAACATAAGTACAACGAATATGGTCGAATTACATGGATACCTTTGTAATTGTACAGATAACAGATTGAGTTGGCATATATGTGGTATGTATTCATGTAAAATTATTAAAAATTAAACACGTATGGAAGATTGAATATGAAGAATCTAATACCGAGCTAAGGCAACGAGTTTGGGTTGTAAGAAGCTCTTCTTCTTCTTCGAGGTGAGAGCGTAACCGACTATGAGTTTTGGTGGCTGAGGAGAGACAAAACCGATCGGGAACTTGTGCGAATTCACTTCGTTTAATATCTCGTCTTCTTCACCGTCTGTATTGTATGAAATCTCTCCGTTCAACTTCATAGATTCACAAAACCCTAGTTCACCGATCAAATAAGGATCGAAATTCTCTGAATTTAAAGAATAAGTGTTCAAGTTCACAGATCAATTAAACACACACAACCTGTGTCTCTCTACTTGACTCTCTACTATTTGAAGAGAAGAAATGGCGGAGATATCGGAGATAGGACTCAAAGTCAAAGACGAGTGAGCTGAATGGGACTGTTGGTAAATGGATGGTCCGTCAAAAGGCAATTTGACACCAGTTTTGTTGGTAGGATGATAATCGAGTGTAGACTTTCTCGACAAGCCCAAAACATTGGCATGTTTGATTTACTTTAGTTCTCGAAAACTGTTTTTTCAAAATTTTGAAAACGTTTAAAACTTGTTGTTAAGTATTTTTTCTCTCTAAATTTTGAAAAAAAAAATGAGATTTGAGTCAAAAAAATAGAAAATTAGTATTACATTTTTTCAAAGTTTTCTTTAAAAAATTTAAAAATAAGGAGAACAATTTTGAATGTTCAGATATACGTATAATATATATATATACTAGTGTGTGTATAGCTGAAGTATATATATAATATGTGAGTGTGTATTGGAATATGTGTAACTATGTGTTGTGGAGTATTTGTGTTGAGTTTGTAAAATTTGAGAGGAAAAGTATGTGATGGGTGTGTGAAATTTGGGGAGAAAAATATACCCCTCATAAGTTCAAACATCTAGTTATCTTATTATATAAATATTATGAAATTGTCAATATAAAAATAAATTTTTTATATTTTTTTATTAATGATTGAATTACTGTTCAAATATATATATAANACATTAGTAATATTTAGGATGATTTTAGGAGCTGCTTATTCCTTTTGACTATATAATTGTGTGATTTTTACGAAATAAAAAACCCGATTTTGTGCATATATAAATTCTTTGATTCAAATAATACGGANCAAATATATATATAAGCTGTCCAAACAGGTTTTACTATTTTCTGTATTGTAAAATTGTTTTTGAAATCATCTAACAAAACAAATTTTTTATCTCAAAAAATATCAAAACTACTTCCTTAAAACTCTTATCAAAAACTATTTTCGAAANAATACGGAAGTTTTCTTATTTATACCTTTACTTGTTAGAGGGGCAATTGTTCATCAAACTACCAAAGGAAACAAGGTAAATCAAGGTGATCCAAATATTGGAAATGCCTACGATGGGATAGATGAGACTTCCCTTAGTTGTTTTGGATGACATAGTCGGTTGTAGAAAATCCTTCCCTTTTTTGATGCATTTCTTTAGTCGTTAGGGAGTTAAATCTTCACTTTAAGGCTCACATAGAAACCCTCACGTATTTTGCATGAGCCCTATCTTATTGAATGGGAATGAAAGATACCTAAAGTGCAGACAACGTCTCAAGGAATCTAGAACCAGTGACTGAGGTACTAACCCAAAACAAAAGTCAAAAAAGCGAGAGAGCCTTGTTCCAAAGAACCAAAAACATNGAAAAATATACCCCTCATAAGTTCAAACATCTAGTTATCTTATTATATAAATATTATGAAATTGTCAATATAAAAATAAATTTTTTATATTTTTTTATTAATGATTGAATTACTGTTCAAATATATATATAAGCTGTCCAAACAGGTTTTACTATTTTCTGTATTGTAAAATTGTTTTTGAAATCATCTAACAAAACAAATTTTTTATCTCAAAAAATATCAAAACTACTTCCTTAAAACTCTTATCAAAAACTATTTTCGAAAAAAGACAAACCAAACAGACCCATTATTTAAGTTCGCTAGTTTAAGAATAAGTTGAGCACTTGCCTACCCGAGCTTGAATTTTATACTATTAAATTAAAATAAATAATTAATTAATTAATTTTGACCGTTGTTACGTACTTTCTTATCTCTAATTTTGTTGTAACCAGGGGCGGAGCTACTTGTAACCTTGTGGGGACAATTGCCCCCACAGAAGTTTCAACAATCAATAAAAATATTATCTCAAAAGGTCATGACTTTCTTCTAATTAGTGTATTGTCTCCTTTAATTTTTAATAAATTTATATAATGACCCATATATTTTGTTTTTCAAGTGAGCTGTTGGCCCATTATTGACCCCCTGACCGAACGAAATAATATTTTATTTTTGGATCCCATGAAATATGTGCAAAAACCTTTGTATATATTCACCAAATCTAATACATATATTTTTTTTAATACACTGATATAATTTGTTATAATAATCATGTAGTTGTTAATGAATTTTTTTCGTTAAATTAGTTGTCAGTATCTATAGTAAAACGCGACGAGATGTAAAATTAAAAACTTTTTCAACACAAACAAACATTTTCTTTTTTTTTAAATAATTAATTTTTAAACAAGATGGGTTGCAACAAAATTAATGACGACTTCGTCATGATGTCTATTATTATACACATTGAAAGAAATTACTATGAAATTTAGCATGGAATTAATTATAGATTTTTTTTAGGATTTGAAAAAATAATTTATTTCACTTTAATATATTATTGAGATCAATACCATTTTTAATATAGTAATTCAATCATGAATCTTAAAATATTTTTCATGTTTAAACTTATAAATTTTTTATATGGGTAGTGTGTTAGACCAATGTGATCAAGCGATCTATCATGTTTTTTTTTTATTTTTTGGACATCTAACCTACACAAATTAAGTTGTTTTATTTGGAGGGTGGCCATTGAGATCCTATTTTTTTTATGTCTATGTCTATGTTTTTTCATCTTTTGTCGAATTTGAGTTTTTCGCGGCATGAACTCTAACCAAGTCAAACTAAAGCTCCATAGTATGTTCTTTCTCATTCAATCTTTTTTATGTTAACTTTGCTTTCAATAAATCCCATTTGTATCATTCCCAACTATCACGCTTATGTCGACTATCACGCAAATGTTGACATTCACTCTCTTTTTGCTCATTTTCACTCCTTTTTGTGAAAAGCACACTAAGCACCAGCTTTTTAAAAAAATAGCTTAGTAGCCACATTAGTAATATTTAGGATGATTTTAGGAGCTGCTTATTCCTTTTGACTATATAATTGTGTGATTTTTACGAAATAAAAAACCCGATTTTGTGAATATATAAATTCTTTGATTCAAATAATACGGAAGTTTTCTTATTTATACCTTTACTTGTTAGAGGGGCAATTGTTCATCAAACTACCAAAGGAAACAAGGTAAATCAAGGTGATCCAAATATTGGAAATGCCTACGATGGGATAGATGAGACTTCCCTTAGTTGTTTTGGATGACATAGTCGGTTGTAGAAAATCCTTCCCTTTTTTGATGCATTTCTTTAGTCGTTAGGGAGTTAAATCTTCACTTTAAGGCTCACATAGAAACCCTCACGTATTTTGCATGAGCCCTATCTTATTGAATGGGAATGAAAGATACCTAAAGTGCAGACAACGTCTCAAGGAATCTAGAACCAGTGACTGAGGTACTAACCCAAAACAAAAGTCAAAAAAGCGAGAGAGCCTTGTTCCAAAGAACCAAAAACATACCCTAGCAAAGAATTCTAGCTGTGCCCCTAATTACAATATGATGATTTTTGGGATGATAAATAATAACAATGAAAGAAAAAAGTTAATAGGGTATTTTTTTTGAAGATAAAATAATAGATTTGAAGAAAATAATTTATTAACCAGCATGCAAAATTTTGACATCACAATAATATGACATGCCACGTGACACACAATCAACATTGTTTTGTTATTTTTTTTTCAATGGTTATGAGTGTTCGAATTAATTTATACGCACTTCAATTAATTTTTTCTAAGGAATTATTAAAATTTGAACTCATAACGTCTGAATTTACGGCTCATTTTTGTCACACCCCATCCCGGTCTCCCAAGGATGAGATGCGACTAAGTTTTTAATACACCTGTTTACAATTATTATAATTTAGACTAATCAAATATTAAATAATTTCACAAGTGCAACAATACCACCCATCATTTTAGTCATTAAGCAAGATAGTAAAATCTGTCTCATAACATGTACCATATATATAACAAATGTACCAATCATTGATTTTACAGGTTATAGACATATACAAAATCCTACACCTACATAGCATACACCGTAAAAGTATGCTTGTTGAATCTATTTACAATATATACTATTAACCTACCATAATATTCTCTCACAAATATAATACATAATCTAGAAATTAGTCATAATGACACTCAACCTGAGTGATATCACACTAACGATGCACAAGACTCAATCAACTAGACAATGGACTGGTCTGTATCTTTCTTTTATAGTACCTAAAAAGAAGAACTATAGGGGTGTGAGCTAAACCACGCGCTCAGTGAGTATACATGTTGTATATGAAATAGAAATGATAGTAATACGCTGAAGTAAATAGATATTACGTAGATACACGTATCAAATAACATCATCAATCTAAATCCAAAGAATTCACAAGTCACATCATATTCATACTACCCCTCATCGGATAATCGATCCCATATGGATTCGTGGCTCCTGAACCTTCCGNCATTTGTATCATTCCCAACTATCACGCTTATGTCGACTATCACGCAAATGTTGACATTCACTCTCTTTTTGCTCATTTTCACTCCTTTTTGTGAAAAGCACACTAAGCACCAGCTTTTTAAAAAAATAGCTTAGTAGCCACATTAGTAATATTTAGGATGATTTTAGGAGCTGCTTATTCCTTTTGACTATATAATCATGTGATTTTTACGAAATAACAAAACCCGATTTTGTGAATATATAAATTCTTTGATTCAAATAATACGGTAGTTTTCTTATTTATACCTTTACTTGTTAGAGGGGCAATTGTTCATCAAACTACCAAAGGAAACAAGGTAAATCAAGGTGATCCAAATATTGTAAATGCCTACGATGGGATAGATGAGACTTCCCTCAGTTGTTTTGGATGACATAGTCGGTTGTAGAAAATCCTTCCCTTTTTTGATGCATTTCTTTAGTCGTTAGGGAATTAAATCTTGACTTTACTAAACTTAAAAAAATAAGGCTCACATAGAAACCCTCACGTATTTTGCATGAGCCCTATCTTATTGAATGGGAATGAAAGATACCTAAAGTGCAGACAACGTCTCAAGGAATCTAGAACCAGTGACTGAGGTACTAACCCAAAACAAAAGTCAAAAAAGCGAGAGAGCCTTGTTCCAAAGAACCAAAAACATACCCTAGCAAAGAATTCTAGCTGTGCCCCTAATTACAATATGATGATTTTTGGGATGATAAATAATAACAATGAAAGAAAAAAGTTAATAGGGTATTTTTTTTGAAGATAAAATAATAGATTTGAAGAAAATAATTTATTAACCAGCATGCAAAATTTTGACATCACAATAATATGACATGCCACGTGACACACAATCAACATTGTTTTGNAAATTTCCAAAATTACTCATATGAATCACAATTAGGATTAAGTAGGTCAAACACATTGATCCGGAGCCCATTTTCAAACATTTCGACCACGAATTCTAAAAAATGCACATCTGATATTTCATACATTTCACATCGGATATTATACTCATTTACATTCGAAAGTCTCATTATCACATCAAGCATTATTTAAAAATGCTGCATGCAAAATTTTAAGTCATTTTGATTAAAATTCGCACATGTAATAATAACATTTAGAAATCAGGGTTTCGACGTTACCGACATTCATTTCCAATTTCTATCATACTTTTCTTTCAAAACAATTATACCTAAACTCACACATTTAGTAAATTATGCAAATCAGCCCCCTAATTGCATTTTTAAATCACGTATTTTACTCCCATAATTTCGATTCCAACCTAGCCCTAAAAAACATACTGAACATCTCAAATAGTTATTTTTTACATTTTTCTCATCTTTATTTTAATATTCATTTGAAACCTATCTTTAACAACCAGTTAATTATGTTAAATATATTTAATTACACTTATACAAAATTTGTTTTGACATGAAACTAAATCAGCCCATTAAAACTAAAATAAAATAGCTAATGTATTTAAATTAAAACAATCTATTCATTAAAACATGTTAAAATAGTCTGTGCATATACAAATATATATATACTAAAATTAATCACAACTCATGCTTTAATTTAGTTCCACGTACTTTTTCCTTCTCCTTCCTTCCTCACGGATTCAAAAACCACACTCACACGTATACATTTATTTTTCTTCCTCCCTCTGTTTTGCTTTCCCTCGCCCTCGGTTTTTAGTAGAATCAGACCACACACACTTAATAATATATTAAACACACACACACATATGCACAAATTAAAACACACACACGTACACCCGGCANAAATTTCCAAAATTACTCATATGAATCACAATTAGGATTAAGTAGGTCAAACACATTGATCCGGAGCCCATTTTCAAACATTTCGACCACGAATTCTAAAAAATTCACATATGATATTTCATACATTTCGCATCGGATATTATACTCATTTACATTCGAAAGTCTCATTATCACATCAAGCATTATTTAAAAATGCTGCATGCAAAATTTTAAGTCATTTTGATTAAAATTCGCACATGTAATAATAACATTTAGAAATCAGGGTTTCGACGTTACCGACATTCATTTCCAATTTCTATCATACTTTTCTTTCAAAACAATTATACCTAAACTCACACATTTAGTAAATTATGCAAATCAGCCCCCTAATTGCATTTTTAAATCACGTATTTTACTCCCATAATTTCGATTCCAACCTAGCCCTAAAAAACATACTGAACATCTCAAATAGTTATTTTTTACATTTTTCTCATCTTTATTTTAATATTCATTTGAAACCTATCTTTAACAACCAGTTAATTATGTTAAATATATTTAATTACACTTATACAAAATTTGTTTTGACATGAAACTAAATCAGCCCATTAAAACTAAAATAAAATAGCTAATGTATTTAAATTAAAACAATCTATTCATTAAAACATGTTAAAATAGTCTGTGCATATACAAATATATATATACTAAAATTAATCACAACTCATGCTTTAATTTAGTTCCACGTACTTTTTCCTTCTCCTTCCTTCCTCACGGATTCAAAAACCACACTCACACGTATACATTTATTTTTCTTCCTCCCTCTGTTTTGCTTTCCCTCGCCCTCGGTTTTTAGTAGAATCAGACCACACACACTTAATAATATATTAAACACACACACACATATGCACAAATTAAAACACACACACGTACACCCGGCACACACCCACACACCCACACGGCTAACTCACCCATTTTTATATGCTGACACAAATAAAGCTAACTCATGTTAGTGGGGTAATTATACTTGCCTCCCTCCACGTTCTTAAGTGATTTTAAAATTGACTCACTATTTTTTTCATACTTGAAATTTTATAAATAGGTTTCACTAATACTTCACTAACGGGTCCACATACTCAATATATGCTCACTCACATCATGCCTATGAAAGATTTAATTTAATTAATTTTTTAATAATTTCACATAATTATAATTTAGCCCACAAAATTATACTAAGTTACATGCAATGCATGATCGGGTCTCACAATTTCTGTTACCACTTGAACTATCCTTAAAGTATGTTTGGAATGCAGGTTAAAAGGGGATAATTTTAGTATGTTAGGATAAAAAAATATGTGGGACTTACATATCCGACAGTAAAAAATATATCAGAAATTTCATTCATATTTTATCAAACTCAAATTGAAAAGTCAACTTTAACCCATCTTCATGGGTTAAATGAAACCCAAGGGGGATTTTTTTTTTTTTTGGCCTGACAAGATAATTAATGCAAATGACCGAATTGTCCTATTCTTTTCTCATTTTATCTCATCAGCTTCGTCTCCTCCTCTTGTTTTTGTAAAGATCTAATTTTTTTTACAACAAATTTATTTAGTAAAAGATTCTGTCGACAAANGACAAGATAATTAATGCAAATGATCGAATTGTCCTATTCTTTTCTCATTTTATCTCATCAGCTTCGTCTCCTCCTCTTGTTTTGGTAAAGATCTAATTTTTTTTGCAACAAATTTATTTAGTAAAAGGTTCTGTCGACAAATTTCAAGAAGACGTATTTTCTATCGAGACAACTAATTTAAATAATAAACTAACTCTAATAAAATAATATCCTATTTGAACTAAGATTAATATAATTAAGTAATGAGAGCCTGAGATAATTAGGAAAAAAATAGTTAATGAAACTATATTCTATCATTTTTTTTCTTGGATCCTATAAAAGTGTCTAGTCCAAAAATTGGAAAGAATAGGATATAATTATTAAATTTTAACCAATCTAATAATAAGTGTGCTTAGGTTAATAAATAATATTTTTTTAGATCTCCAGTCCAGTCTAATTCTATTATTCAAACACAACATTAGGATTAACATTGTTTTGTTATCATTTATGCCAATTTTCAGTCTCTCATAAAGTCATAATAATACCAAAATAATTAAAATTCAGCGCTGTGGACCCCTCTTGCTTACGTTAGTAAAGGCCCCACCTTTTAACAAGGTAGTTGACCGTTAAAGTCGGACAGCTACTGCTCCTACCGCCCTTTTCACCTGTCCAGGTTTCAAACTAATTTATGGGCCGTAACGTACAGCACTTTAGACTAATGACTAGGTATTATATTTTGAGTAGTGTAATGTATTTTAAATTTGTATTTTAAATCAAGAAAAATTATTGGATGAGTGCGTCTTATCATTTTTTTAAATGACACACGCTCATCCCAGGATCCTTCTTAATTTAAAATATAAATTTAAATTATAAATTTGAAATATATATAATTACTATTATGTTTTATTCATCTTCCATGCAATATTATTTACCACTAAACCCCAGCTCTTGTGCCTTACCTTGTAAACCCCAAAATATTTCTACCCCAAAGTACAAAATTGGACGGAGTTTTCAATCACACCCACCTCAATATCATCGACACCCACCTCCTTCTTTACCAAAAATCCATGATCAATTCATCATTCTGAGTCTTTTGATCTTAGCCTTGATCGTCACTTTCTTGAAACAACATGGCGGTCATGGGAGATTCAGCTCTTATCTGTTCTCAGATCATCGCTAAAAACCCAGATTTTAATTCCAAGAATCGGGTAATCCACGATGCGATTTCTTTCCGTAGAGTATGTTTTAGTGGGGAGAAGTTGAGATTTAGAAAGGGTAGAGTAGGAGTTTGGGCGGTGATGGAAGCGGAGGAGAGAGAGAGTACTNCGTAGAGTATGTTTTAGTGGGGAGAAGTTGAGATTTAGAAAGGGTAGAGTAGGAGTTCGGGCGGTGATGGAAGTGGGCGCGGAGGAGAGAGAGAGTACCGGTGTTTTGAAGAGTTTGGAGGGGTCTTTAGGATTTGATGTGGTGTCTGCATCGGAATTGAAGAAGAAAGGTTTTTTGGGGTTGAGGAAGACCAAGCTTGTTTGTACGATTGGGCCGGCGTGTTGCTCATTGGATGATTTGGAGAAGTTGGCATTGGGAGGGATGAATGTGGCGAGGCTTAATATGTGTCATAATACGATCGAGTGGCACCGGAATGTGATTAGGAAGATAAAGAAATTGAATGAGGAAAAGGGGTTTTGTGTGTCTGTGATGATAGATACAGAGGGCAGCCAGATCAATGTGGTTGATCATGGTGCTCCTTCTTCAGTCAAAGCAGAGGTAATATACCAGAAATTATTAATTTGGTGTGCTTTTATGATTTTAAAATCTACAGGAGTGAGCAATTAAGGAAACAAGAAAAAAGAATTTCTAGATCTGATTGAGTTCATGATTATTATTTGTTGGTAAAAACAAGGAAAAAAATATAATTTTGACAGTATACTATTTATCTTGGATCAGGATGGTTCAATCTGGTCTTTCACTACTGAAAATTTTGAGTGTTCTCGCCCATTCACAGTTCAGGCAAACTATGAAGGTTTTGCTGAAGGTAAGAGAATGGCCGATCTTGATTAAAGTTTTATATTACCTTGAACCAGTCATGAAAATTTTGTTACATCTCTCCCTCTCTCAGGTATAAAAGTGGGTGATGAACTTGTTATTGATGGGGGAATGGCGACCTTTGAAGTTATAGAAAAGATTGGGAATGATTTGCTTTGTAAGTGCACAGACCCTGGTCTACTCCTGCCTCGAGCTAAATTGAGCTTTTGGAGAGACGGGATACTCGTTGGCAAAAATTACGAGCCCCCAACTTTGTCTACAAAGGTTAATTTTTTACCCTTGTTTGATGTATGAGTTTTGTGTCTTGGTCGCAGTGACCACTTGTCATTTGCATTTGGACTCGTAGATATACACCTTGCTTTTAGTTGCAACTTAAGAGAATCCCTTGGTTGAGGTATCTGAATAACAATCATATCTGTAGTGCTTCTGTCAGTTCCACTGACTTTTATCATCTCATTGATGTTAATAGCACGTGTTCGTTTATAACAGTTTTGCGCATCCCAAAGAAGATACAGTCTACGGTCTTAGTAAAAAGATCGCGATAACCACTTATTATTTGTGTTTTGGTTCATATTATCATTATCAGCATCATATTGTTTGTTTATTGCATTTTCTATTATATAATCCAGCTTTGCATGTAATGTATAAGATCAATTTGAGATTGCACATTGTGTTCTCTCAACACAAACTTTCCCGGATAAATGTATCGTAATTAACCTTGTATATGTTTGGGAATCGGCTTTCCATTGTACACTTTAAAAATCNGTAATGTATAAGATCAATTTGAGATTGCACATTGTGTTCTCTCAACACAAACTTTCCTGGATAAATGTATCGTAATTAACCTTGTATATGTTTGGGAATCGGCTTTCCATTGTACACTTTAAAAATCGTGCAAAGTGTGTGCTGAGTTTTTAGAGCTACAGGGGTGGCATTCTAGTGTTATTTTAGTTTTTTGTTTTTCCTTTCCTTCTTTTAAATTTCTTGGTTTTGTTAAAGTGGACTGCTTTTTACAGACCATTTCTTATATATGCTTGAATGACCCTTTAATAAATTCCTATGCTCTGGATAATATATCACTAACTGGATATTTTTTATTTACATTATACAGTAAATCTGAGAATTAACTAATTGCAGTTTGTGCATATTGTTTTTCTTCATTTGAATGCCTTACAGGATTGGACCGACATCAAGTTTGGAATTTCTGAAGGTGTTGATTTTATCGCCATGTCATTTGTGAAAGATGCAGATGCTATCAAGCATCTAAAGAACTATATTTCAACCAATTCCTCCAAGTAATGTCACAGTCTGAAATAAACTCCATATAGTTTCACCCAAGGAACAATATATTCTCCTTTGAAGCATCATATATCATGTTTCTCTTGGACACCTTATCAAACAAGCTGATGTGCAAAATATGTGATTTGCATTTCCTACATCGGTGTTCTTTTCCAGGAGTTCGTAACTCCTCCTATTTCTTTAGGATAATACATGAAATTGATGAGTCTGTACATCTTTTAAGACAAATGTGTGCATCACTAATCTTGTTTTCTTTGCCAAGCAAATATAGAATTGCTTCTGACTCTCTTTTGGAGGTCGGATGCTGAAAGTCCAGATGTTTCAATTCACAGATCCATAAAAGTTTTGGCAAAAATAGAGAGTTTGGAATCCCTCCATAAATTGGAAGAAATTGTCATAGCTTCTGATGGAATCATGATTGCGAGAGGTGACCTTGGAGTTGAAATCCCGCTTGAACAGATACCAACAGTGCAAGAGAAAATTGTTCATGTCTGCAGGAAGCTTAACAAGCCAGTGATTGTAGCCTCTCAGCTTCTGGAGTCAATGATTGAATATCCTACCCCAACCAGAGCTGAGGTACTGCCATTTTATTTTTCTGGAAGAAACTGTTTCTCAGAATTTGTGCCATTAGTAATGAATTTCTCCTCTCTTTTTTTTCCCGGGGGTGGGGGGAAAGGCAACAGATGGGGGTTTTCTAGAATCTAGAAAGACTTGAATCCCTTAGTCTTCATCTATAGGTAAATGTGTACTTTCATTCTGTGACAAAAAGAGAGAAAGAATGTCCTCATTCATATTGCCAAGCTATTTTCTTCTTGCTTGCTGGGGTTCTTTNCTTAGTCTTCATCTATAGGTAAATGTGTACTTTCATTCTGTGACAAAAAGAGAGAAAAAATGTCCTCATTCATATTGCCAAGCTATTTTCTTCTTGCTTGCTGGGGTTCTTCGTTGATTTGCATATTTGAGTCTCCTTGTTTCCATGATAGATTGGATTTTTCAGTGTACATACATTAGTATTCTCTCCTTTCTGTTTAACATACATTAGTATTCTCTCCTTTCTGTTTAACTTCTTCCAATGTAAAAAAGGTTGCAGATGTTTCTGAAGCAGTTCGACAGTATGCTGATGCCCTGATGTTATCTGGAGAATCAGCAATAGGATCATTTGGGCAGAAGGCTCTTTCTGTCTTGGAGATGACTAGCAGCCGAATGGAACTATGGAGTCGGGAGGAGAACAGGCAAAGTGTTCTTCAGCAGCATCTACTTGGTGTATCGTTGCCAGACCAGATTGCTGAGCAGATCTGCAATTGTGCAGTAGAAATGGGTATATTCTGTTTCTCTCAATGTTCATCATTAGCGGATGGAGCTGTACAGAATAAGCTAGAATGGGTTGATTTTAACACATTACATTTCCTGGTAGGATGTATAGGAACTCTATGTTTTTAACATATTGCACTCTTGAAAGGTTGGTTAAATGTATATACTATGTTGTTAAAACAGTCCAGTCACTACGTGTCTAACCAACAAGTTTAGTAAATGGATGGACCTGAGTCTCTTTGTGTTTACAAGCAATAGCCTTCAATGGAAATTATATGAAGTTATTTTTCAAGGCTTAATGGATGAGCCATAATGTTTGTACATTTTAAATACTTAGTAACCTGTGCAACATTACCATAAAAATGGAAAAAAGATTCCAAAGGATTAGAACTTGTAATATAAATTAGCCAATGTGTCAAACTCTGTTATAGTGGAAACATTTGTCATGCAGATATTCATGAACAAAGATAAGTTCAACAATTGTTATCAAAGCCGTCCTTGAACTAAGAAACCATTTTGAGCCATGAGTATGTAACCCTTTGAGAGATGTTTGTGCTTGAAGAAATTTCACCTTTATGACTTTTCTGCTCTATCTGCAGCTAACAAACTTGGTATGGATGCCATCTTTGTGTACACAAAACATGGAGAAATGGCGTCACTTCTGTCGCGCAACCGTCCAAATTCTCCCATATTTGCATTTACAAATGACGACAGCACCCGGATGGCTCTCAATTTGCAGTGGGGTGTTACACCTCTCCTCACAGATTTATCAGATGACATGGAATTCAACATTGCCAAAACCGTCGATCTTATAATAACAAAGGGGATGGTGAAACAGGGAGATGTGGTTCTGGTGGTCTCAGATATCATTCCAATTTCTGCAATCCCAACCTTGTTCCAATCAATCCAGGTGAAAACTATTGTTTAGGAGACAATTCTCTTGAACGTGGTAAATAATTTACTGTCATCGACTGTAAAGAAAGGAAACCAATAGTTGAACCTTTACCCCTTTACACTGTAGTAGAAGATATATATTTGGTTTCTCTTATTTTAGTTGGTATGTATCATGCTACTAGTGTCATGTACTTGGCTTTCAAGACTATACAGTTTATGAAATGAGTTTTAGATTCGATTCATTTGTCCTGTGTTGCATGTTTATTTTCTTTTTTCTTTGTCTAGATGTATGGGTAGTTTTGCTATTTGGATAGTTTCAAGGGTAAACTTGGCTTTAATCTCTGTGATTAGGTGCACGATTAACTGCGATAATGATATAGAAAAAATGGCCTTAATACTCCATCAGTTTATGGAGTGGATAGTGACAAACTAAACTACATGAAATGCAACTGGACCTGCTCTCAACATTGTGTGATGCAAGAACCATGTGGAGAGAGGTTTGATGGAGCTTGAATAACCTGGTTGAAGCGTAATGAGCATAAATTTGCTAGTTAAAATATGGGCATCCGCTACAGGGAAGATGCTGCTAGCTTCAATCATTAAAAGAAAAAAAGTCAAAAAAATATATATATATTTTGTTGTTACACGAGTGGATGATGAGAACCATGTTATGTCTCTTTGTGAATTGTGCACGACGTTTTTGAACAGCAAGATCGAGAAGGATCAGATGTGTGCAACCTATTCCGAGCAAGTACACCACTAAAGAGAAGGATTATGCTACTGCTATTAGATTTGAGGTAATGACACGAAAACATGGAATACTAGGGGCACATTGATATCATTTGAAGAGATTTAAGGCTTCTGATCATTGGAAAGAAATTGACACCCCCCCCCCCTCAAAAAAAAAAAGGCAATTGGAAAGAAACTAAAAAGTTTAATACTGGTGTGCGTGACACTCTCTCAATGGGAATTACCTCCTGGAAGGACTAGAGTTAACTTTGAGAGAGGTAATTACCTTGGAATTAACCTTTTCGAGACAAAATTCTATTAATCCTTCTATTTATTAACCACTTCCGGCACATCATCACACGATTGTCCGACTATTAGGAAGGCATGAGACAAGTTGAGAATTGAAGGTGGAAGAAATCCTACATTGGGTCTTATCTTGTATTTATATATATTTTTTTCTTGAGTAGTTGGATCAATTGAAGAGTGAGTGAACCTAATTTGTTGATTTATTTTAAAAAATCTACCTCTTGAAACAATAATAGATCATTAAAAACACTAAGATATTTTGACTCATGGCACATTTTATTCTTCATTCAACACAGTTTGGTTAGTAAGACGGACCTCCATTGACTGAATGAACTGTATCTAAGTTTTGGGTATGAGTTCGACTTCTTGTCGACTGTGTTAAACTTGATTGACCATTTCACGTGTTGAGAGACAGTTGCATGCGATAATACTCTCCAAATAAAAATTACCTCCCGAAAAGAGCTTAGATTAGCTTTGAAGAAAATAATTCCCTCGGAGTTAGCTTTTTCGGGACAAAATTGTATTAACCCTTCTATTTATTAACCAATTCCAACACATCATCACACGAGGGTCCAACTACTAGAAAAACAGAGACAAGTTGAGATTAAAGGTGGAAGGAATCCTAAATTGGCTCTTCTCTTGTCTCCATATATATATATATATGTGTATATATTTTTTTTTTCTCGAGTAGTTGAATCAAATGAAGACGTAGTTGAACCTAATCCACAGAGTTATTATTTTAAAGATCAACCACTTTGAGACAATAATAGAACATTAAAAACCCTTAAATATTTTGACTTATGTCACTTTTTTTTTATATTTTAAACTAAATTAATGAATGGCGGGTCAGGAGTTTCTGCTTTATTATAAATGGAGAGTCTAGTAAAATGAACTCTCTCCTTAAATAAGCAAATATAGGCTTAGAGCATCTCCAATTGTTATTCAAATTTAATTTGAGTAAAAACATGTTAGGAATAAACTATAAATTTTTACTTAAATCACTAATGAGCATATTTCATTATTTCTTACAGATCTAATATTTATGTTTTATCCTCATTTTAATTTGAGTTTGTCACTTTTTAAATTTATTTATTTATTAAATTTTTTACTCAAATGTTATGTGAACTTTGAGTAAAATTTAGAGGACTCAATGTTAGAGATGCTTTTAGTCAAATAAAATTGGGTTGCATCGCTTGATTCTTCGATCAAAATAAATTATTAGGATCATTATGTCCATATGATATATATATTAAAAAAATAATTAATGGTACTTTTATTTTCTAAAATATGTGTGTTTTATAAACTTGATCTTCGTTGTATTAATTTTATCAATTTGATCTCTAAAGTATTCAGCTTGTGTTTAATTTTATCAAATTTGGTCTCTAAAGTTTTTAGTTTGTGTTTAAATGTACCAAAGTAAGGTAATTGATGAGGTTAATGGAATTAAAAAAATTATCATAATACCCCACTTTTAAAATAAGACTTTTCGCCTAATTTATTCTTGATCATAAAACTAATGGAATATGAAAGTAAATTAACACATTACAATCAAACATGTCAAGTCTCTTTTTCTTTGAAGTGAGGTTTTGTTTTAGGGTCAAAAATCAATTATGTTTTTCTTACACGTTTTTTGATCTAGGATCGATGCCCTACCTATTTAGGTATTATATCATATTTATATCTATCTATATTACTAATAAAAACATCTTAAGATGAAAAAAATTTGATTCTCTATTTTTCTCTTATAAAAAATTATAAAGACCGCTATATTCTTTCACAATTAAATATCTAAGGTGCCGTTTGATAATCGTGTTTTTGTGTTTTTGTTTTACCCTGTTTTTGTTTTACCCTTTGCAACAAGAAAAAAAGGATAAATTATTTCACGGATTTATTTCACGGATGCCCCTCACTTTTCAACAATTACACCGAGACTCCAATGGTTAGATGAAATTAATTATCTTAATAAAAAGACTATTTTGCCCCTATGTTCATCAGTCTTCTCTCTCTCCCCCTCAGCCCATTTCTGTGTGTGCGTGTATATATATATATATATGTATGTATATATACCCCAATACAGAGAAAGGGAAATCTCCGGCGATATAACAGACCCCAATACCATCGATTCTCTCTCTCTCTCTTTGGCGATATATCATATACCCCAATACCCAGCGATTTTTTTTTTCTCTCTCTCTCGCAATATAACAGACCCTCAATACCCAGTGACGCAACCATAACAAAACAACAACCCTGATTTATTCTTGATCATAAAACTAATGGAATATGAAAGCAAATTAACACATTTCAATCAAACATGTCAACTCTATTTTTCTCTCAAGTGAGGTTTTGTTTTGGGGTCAAAAATCAATTATATTTTTCTTACATATTTTTTGATCTGGGATTGATGCCCTACCTATTTAGGTATTATATCATATTTATATTTATCTATATTACTAATAAAAGTATCTTAAGATGAAAATTTTTTAAATCTCTATTTTTCTCTTATAAAATATTATAAAGACCATTGTATTCTTTCACAATTAAATATCTAAGGTGCCATTTGATAATCGTGTGTTTGTGTTTTTTTTTTTATTACTTTTTGCAACAAAAAAAAATAATGTGTTTGTGTTGTGTTTCTGTTTTTTTAAGCCACATTGTTTTGAAAACAAGGTCCAAATCTGTAAACACAAAAAATGATATTTTTGAAAACATCCAAAACTAAAAACACTTGCGCATCCCTATTAACAATCAATGAAGTCCAGCCTTCAAATCTCATTAGCAACAAAATGAAGGTTTTTTTTTTTTGGTGCCAACTGTAAAATACCCTTTTCCTTTTTTTTTTCCCTCGTCTCTCTTTCTCTCTCTCGTTTCTCTCTTCTGAAACTAGTGACGAAGACGAAGAAGTCGAAGACAAAATCAAAAACGAGGATGAAGACAAAACCTACATCGTCTCTCTTGCTCGTTTCCCCCTTTTTCCTTAACTTTATACCATATATATATACACATAGATTTACACGTGTTAATTTGTGTTTGTGCGTATATGTGTGTTGTATATATAGATCTCTGTGTATATATGTATGTGTGCTGTATATATAAATCTGTGTGTATGTATATGTGTGTGTCTGTGAGTATGTGTGTGTGTATCCTAGCAGGATCTCGTTTGTGAGTGTGTGTCAACAAGAACAAAACCAAAATTTTTTTTATCATAAAGAACATCTCCAATTGAGGTATTTGGGATTAAAATATTAATTAAAATAACATAAATAAAATATTACCTAAAATATATAATATCAAACAAATTTTTTATTTTTATTTTTATAATTGTTTAAATATAAATAACTAGCAAATATATTTTATATTTTTAAATTTTATCATCATATCCTTATGCTTTTAAATCTCCAAATTATCTATAACATCTCTTTTAATTATTTAATTTGTTTCTATAAAAAAATTTTGATTGATTATATTACCCTTAAAATAATATGCATAATTATATTTTTAATAAAATATTCAAAACTCTATTAATATAATATTACTTATCTCATATGTAAAGATGCATTATGCATATGTGTATTTTCTTTTTTATCGAAAAGTTTAACCTTTTTATTTTTAAGATAAAAAGTAATCGTATATATAGTTTTTTAAAATTAATTTATGTTAAATCAACATAATTCTTTAGCCACAATAAAATTTTTAAGTTGTATTAAAATTTTATATAAAAATAGATATTGTAGTGTATTTTTAAGTAAAATTTAAATTTTTTAGAATTTTAATATATTTGATAATATATATTATACAGTAGTATGTTAAATCTTATGCCAATTGACTTAACTAATTCTTAATTACAGTATGATTCTAATATGATTAGTATATTGACATTTACTTTTATTTTATTCAATAAATTATAAGTGGAATCTTAATCAAATGAATTTCAAAAAATTTAATTTCTCAAACATCACTAAAATTCTAAAAAAATAGAACTTTAACTAATTTTTTTTATCTTTTTTTTTATAGATAGAACAAAAATTTTTGTGAACATACAAAATTTTTATAATCGTATAATAGAATATGAGTAGTGAAAAATTAAGTTTGATAAATTTGAGATAATATTTAATTCAGATACATATATATCTAATATATTTTATTAATTTTTTGTGTACAAAAAATATTCACGTACAACACATGTGATGCATT